ATAAGCCTAACACACTTCACTACTACGAAAATGCGCGCCTATCACGTCATTTAGTTCGCATAAACTAATATTTTCTCGGACACTGAAAATATAGCCTATCGAATAACTTCACTAACTACACGCGATACTATCACGTCGGGGTCACCAAATGATGAGGTCGACTCCTAACCTCATCACAAAGCGATGTAACTAACGAAAGAAAAAAGAAACGCCGCGAGATGATCTTTCTTGTTCCGTGGCTGGAAGGGAACTCAATTTATTTACAACATATTCTTAACACTAAAGCTTACATCTAATACATTAACACATGCATTTTATTTACTAATGCACGCTGTGCATTAACGCACACAATACGTTGCGGGAGAAAACGAAACGTACCTAATTTGTGATCGACTCTTATCTTCTATTTATGGCCGTGACATTTATTACATTATTTATTACCGACCATAAACCTAGCATTTGGAAAACACATGCATCTTAAGTGTTTTCTTTATTTAACTAATTTACATTCTTCGGAAAAGACAAATAAAAATGAGATAAGAATTTAAAGAAGAACATTCAACACACAAACTATTTTTACAACATGTACAGTTTCTACAAAACTAAACACAGTGGATCTGAAAAATATACCTTTGTTATTTAATCTTACAAATGAAGTTTAGTTGTATGGTATACTACATGAATGACCGTAGTCGCCTAAAAAATGCTGTTTATGTTCCCCAACCGGAACTGGTAATACGCCCCTGTTTTTATTCAGTGTATGTATTTACACCCAAATGGCAGCATTAATTGCGGCCAAAAAAAACCTTGGTTTATGTTTCACCTTTTTTCTCCCAGCCGTGTTTACAAGTCCTCCATCCATGTTATCCTACAATTCACATTCTGTTTTTTCTCCTCTTCTCTTTAATAAAAAAAAGGTTATCTAGTAATTTATCAAATAAATTTTATTTTTTCCCTCAACCTTCTTTTTCTTACTTTAATTGGCATTAAATTAAATATTAATCTAATATAGAACTGGACATTGCAGGGAACTGGGAATTGGTTTACCGTAAATGAGAACTAAAACGAGTTAGACCTAATAGGCCGTAAAAGAATAATGGAATGAACCCAGAAAACCAAAAAGGAAAAACACTTAAAACAAAATAAACTGTAAACCATTCCCCATAACGAAATTCTAAATAATTGTCAACGGAAGGAAATTGATATAAATTGAGTTTGCAATGAGGCTGCAGAGAGCAATATTTCGTTGAGTCGTAGCGCGCCTATCGGCCACCTGTTTTGCTTGACTGGGAACGAGTAATTACCGGAAGACTATGGAAAATTATTTTTTTTTTTTTTATTCTGTAAAGTCATAAAAACCTAAGTGGAAATCTAATGCCGGAAAAAGAGAATATCATGGAAAGAATCTTTGTATTAATCAGAAAACGGTATTAGATTCAATTGTGTGCCCTGTAATAGAGGTTTATATATAGCTGCGATATGTTTTATTCGAACATAGCATTGCAAAAAGCACATACACATAAATTTTCTGTCATTTTTTAATTCCTTTATCTGTAAAATGAATAATAAGATCAAACATCAGCGGTCTTCTATCCTTTACATAAAAAAGAGTAGTGAAAGAACTGGCTTACCGAGAATCAACGCCCAGACGACACGGTTGAAGTCACAATCTTGAAATTGCACGGGGGTCACCAGTGGGTCACTAAATCTGTTTTTTTTTTTTAAATACCTACTAAAAGGAACGAAAAGTACAAAAAATTGAATACTTTGTATTAGACAAAAGGAATAAGGTAGAATTCTAAAATTTGTAATGAGAGTAACTGATGGAGTGCAGATGCACCAAAGGTGTTTTGGACATTTTAAATTTAAGGCTATGAAAAGTTCTAAAATGGTATTATACTTCTAAAACCGAACCATTTGGCAATTTTGATAAGAAATCTTGATTTATGAAGGTGGTTTTGGAAATGTGTACTAAGTGTACAACCTGTAATAAACGGTAATAAATTTTGAACAGTTTGTTTTAGTGTGAACGGATGAAGCTGGAATTTTGAAATTTTGTATTGGGGACCCTGTTGCGATGGTAGGTTTTTGATAAAAAGGTGGTTTTGCAAATTTTTACTACAAGTGGACCATTAGTAGTAAATATAACTATATTTGGCACAATTGAGTATTGGGTGAACAGATAATGCTTAAAATCTGAAATTTTGGGTCGCTGTTCATTTGTATTCTGGACATATGGGAGTGATTTCAGAAATATGTATTTTAATAGTTCGAAAAATACTGAATGGTACTAACTTTGGTATTGGGTGAAGGTATATAAATAAAATTCTGAATTTTAATAATGATATTACTGATGGTATCTGTTTTATACCCTCCACCATACTATGGAGGGTATATTAACTTTGTCATTCCGTTTGTAACTCCTCGAAATACTCCTGTCAGACCCAACAAAGTATATATATTCTTGATCAGCGTAAAATTCTATGTCGATTTAGCCATGTCCGTCTGTCTGTCTGTCTGTCCGTCTGTCTGTTGTAATCACGCTATCTTTCGAACGAATTGAGATAGAAGGCTAAAATTTTGCACACCTGTTTATTTTTCCAGTAGGCAGGTTAAGTTCGTAAATGGGCCATGTAGGTCCACGTTTTCATATAGCCCCCATATAACGGTACCTCCCGATATTCGGTATTTTGATGATTTTAGCGACATTATTTACCGGAATTGTTTCAACTTTACTATTTGAAGTTCAAAATCGATATTACAGCCTATGACAGAAAATTATCTGGGCAGGTCCACGTCTTCGTATAGCCCCCATTTATTTTCATCGGTATTTTAATGATTTTAGCGACATTATTCACCGGAATTGTTTCAAATTTGGTATTTGAGATTCGTAATGGATACTACAGCCTATGACAGAAAATTGTCTGTGCAGATCCACGTATAACGGTACCTCCCAAAATTCGGTATTTTGATGATTTTAGCGCCATTATTCACTGAAAGTGTTTCAAATTACGTATTTAGAGTTCGTAATGGGAACTACAGTCTGTGACAGAAAAATGTCTATGCAGGTCCAGGTCTTTGTATAGGCCCCATATATCAGTATTTCCCTATATTCGGTATTTTGACGAGTTTAGGTACAATACCCACTGAAATTGTTTGAGATATCGTATTTGATGTTAGTAATGGATACTATAGCCTGTGACAGAAAATTGTCTATGCTGGTCCAGGTCTTCGCACAGCTCCGATATAATGGTACCTCCCTATATACGATATTTTGATGATTTTAGCCGCATTATTCACCATTTATTTCAAGCTTCGAATTTGAATATGCAATAGCAAACAAAGCCTATGTAGGTCCACGTCGTATAGACCAATATTCGGTATTTTTAAAATTTAACAGAATTTTTTAAGGATTTTTTTGGAACGAATTTGGAAATTTAAAAAAAAAATTCCAAATTCGTTCCAAATGGTAGAGGGTATTCAAAGTTCGGCCCGGCCGAACTTACTGCTTTTTAAATTGTTTTTTTTTTTTTAAGAATTGACGGTGGTTTGAAATTGCGTCCCATATTTGTGCGAGAGGTACAAAATGGTACTTAATTTTGTATTGGGTGAAGAAATAGAGCGGAATTTCTGAAATTTGTACGAAAAGTACTAAATAATTTGTTACTGGGTGAAGGAATGGAGATTGAATCCCGAAATTTGATATAGATGTCGCTGTTGGTATCTGGGATTGAGATATGAAGGTGGTTTGGAAATTAAAAATATTTTTTATATAACTAAAAAGTACTATATTTGGTGTTTGGTTAAGGAATAGAGCTGAAATCCTGAAACTTGATATAGATGTCGCTGTTGGTATCTGTGGTAGAGAGAAGAAGCTGGTTTCGGATATGTGTACTATAATTGTACTAAATTTGGTAATGAGGGAAATTAAGGAGCTGAAATGTGATATTAAGGTCACTGTTGGTATCTGAGATTGTTTTGAAAATGCGTACTATAATTGTTCCAAAAAAAGAGATATATATTGTTTTGAATATGCGTATCTCGGGTTGAGTACTCGAAAAGTACGAAATGGTACTAATTTTGGATAACAATTGCTGTCTAGGATGGAGAGATGTAGATTCTTTTGAATATGCGTACTAAATGTATGTATTGGGTGAATGTATAGAGCTAATATTGAGGTCACTGTTGGTTTCTAGCGTTTATAAATGGAGACGTTGAAATAGTTTTGAACAGAAAAAAAATGGATGTGGATCCATTGCCAATAATTTTATAAATATTGTCCTCGGTATATATATATATATATATATATATATATATATATATATATATATATATATATATATATATATATATATATATATATATATATATATATATATATATATATATATATATATATATATATATATATATCTGAAAAAGGTATAAAAACTCGTCAATTAGTAAAAGATATTTACAATACATTTCATCGATACAGATCTGCAGAGGAGTTTTTGTCTATAAAGAAGTTAAAATATATCTTAGCTATAAAACGTCTAGTAGAGGTATTCTGTGTGTAGAGGAAAGATCAACAAAACTTCAAACTTTGATTCAGGAAATTCCAATTAAAATTCTGATAAAATTCAGTATTCGCAGCTTTAAGGCTGAAGTGAACCGACAATTCGCATATTTACATTATATATATATGTCTGCACAAAATTCAAGGTATACGAAGTTTGGAGAAAATCGCTGACTGGTTTCACATGACATAAGAGATATAATGAAAATGTGTGTGTGTGTGGGATACCATATTCACATTACATCTAATGTAGGTGGGAGTATTGCATTGTTGAAAGTTGAAAGAAACATGGCTTAATTGTTTTGAATTGTATGAGAGTATATTATAATATTTTTTACAAACTTTATTATTATTTTTTTTTGTATTTCTTAATATTTTTACTTACATTAATTTCTTTTTTTTTAATTTTTTTTAATTCCTTCAATTTCTTTCATTTTCACAGATATATCATCCAAATTCCAACACTACAACGACAATGAAAACTCCATTTACAGTCATAACGGAAATCTAGATGACGCTGTCGATGATGCTGATGCGGTCGCCAGTACAGTTACCACCACAAGTATTGGGGCGATGGCAGCGAGCAATATTGAAACACCCAATATATTTACATGCCCGTCGGAAGGTTTATATCCACATCAATATGAATGTCACCTGTACTATCGTTGCGAACAACAGACGACAGATGGGTATGTCAAAGCCTATTTACTGAGCTGTAGGAGGGGTACAATATTCTCACGTGATTTGAAATTATGTATGCCTCCATTGTTGGCAAATCGTGAAGAATGTCAACATTATGGCAATGAAATCGATACACTAGCAAGCGACGGTGATGATGATGCCGAGAACGATATTACACTTGGCGGGGGTGACTCTACTGGCAATGCTGCCAACATTGATGAGAGTATTGATAACCGATTGATGCATATATTGCAAATGGCCGGTGCCAGGATGGGCGCCAGCGGTGGGGTTGCGAACAATGGTAATGCCATGGCTGCCGGTACATACAAGCAATGGCAGAATTATGGTCTAACAGGATTAAGCGGTGTTTCGGTAATTTCCTTTTCAACATCATCTGCACGTTCGGCAGCAGCAGCAAGTGCAGATAACGACCAGGGACCACCATGTAAAGATGATGGATTTATGAGCGATCCAGATGATTGCACCGTATTCTATCGTTGCATATCGAATGGCCAGACATTTAATAAAATTGGCTTCCGCTGTTCCGATGGCACAGCATGGGATGAATCACTGCAATCGTGTAATCATTTGGCCAATGTTCGCAATAACGGTGGATGTCTGAATAAGAAGGAGGGCATACAAATGGATGAATATGAACAGACGACATCAACACAGACTGGTTATCAAAATACGACAACATCTTCGTCAAGTTCACAGCAGCAACAGCAGAGTTCTACATCGTCATCAATGACTTCATCGTCGTCTTCCACATCATCATCTTCATCTTCGTCCTCGTCTTCGCACCAGCAGCAACAAGCATCTTCCACTCAATCAAGTAGTACGGAAAGTTCTTCTTCATCTTCCACCAGCACTCAAAGCTCCTCTTCATCCTCTTCAAATTCATCTTCGTCTTCAAGCAGCCAACAATCAACGACGTCATCCAGCTCAGCGGCGAATATGGAGAGTTCTACCCAGCAGTCCTCATCGTCCAATAATCAAAGCTCAAATTCTCAGAACTCAAATGCCAATAATAATCAGTCATCCAGCGCCGGAGGTTCCACCTCAGATAATAACAATCAATCCTCCAATAGTCAAGGATCTACCTCTCAAAACTCTAATTCCAACTCGAACAATAATCAATCGTCTACAACATCATCAAGTTCTACTGCGAACACGGAAAGTTCTACACAGGAGTCCAACAGCAATCAAAGTTCGAACTCAAATTCCAACAACAATCAATCTTCTTCTTCATCCTCGAATTCCCAGCAAAATACTCAAGGTTCCAATTCCAATAACGGAAATGCCTCAAGTTCATCGTCCAATTCCACATCGTCTTCGAATAAACCAGCTTCTACAAAATGCGAAGATGAAAACACCTACATTCCCGATATGGAGGATTGTGCCAAATTCTATCGTTGTCGCGATAATGGTAACGGTACTCTGGAAATGGTTACTTTCACCTGTGGACCCGGTACTGTATGGAATCAAGATGACAAAGTTTGTGATTTGCCAACGGAATCGCAACGTGAAAAATGTAAAATCTCCTCCTCCAACTCGCAACAAAGTTCATCATCGTCGAACCAACAAGCCGGCTCATCCAATACCTCGTCAAACCAACAAACGGGCTCATCCAACACACAATCTTCTTCAAACTCAACATCATCAAGCAATAATCAGTCTGGATCTTCCAGTTCTAATCAATCAGGTTCATCCTCAAACAATAATCAATCATCGTCAAACAATCAGTCTGGAACTTCAAGTTCTTCCTCGTCAAACAATCAATCAGGCTCTTCTTCAAACAACAATCAATCAGGGTCGTCTTCAAGCAACAATCAGTCGCAATCTTCAACTTCGGGCGCCAACAATGAAGAGGGAAAACCTCACAAACCATCCAATCCTAATGGGAAATGTAGCAATACCGAAACATATCTTCCGGATAAAACCGATTGCTCTCGTTTCTATCGCTGTTTGGACAACGGAAATGGTGGTTTCGATATAATCGGATTCGACTGTGCACCCGGAACAGTGTGGGATGCCGATTCAAAGGGCTGCAATCATCCAACAGATGTGCAGAAAGAACAATGCAAGGCAATGGCTGCCGGAGCTGGCAGTTCTCAACAGCAAGAATCAAGTTCATCAGCATCTACAACACAGGGATCCTCATCTAGCTCGGGAAGTCAACAACAGGGTTCCAGTTCGAGCAATCAACAACAACAAGGATCATCTTCATCACAAGAGTCATCTAGCAGTTCCAATAATACTCAGGGACATGGATCATCCGGCTCTCAATCCTCACAAAGCTCATCATCAACAACGGAATCCAATCAATCAACCAACTCAACAACCCAGTCTGCTAGCAGTCAAGAATCTTCAAGTACACAAAGTAGTTCCCAGTCATCAACGAGTAGTACACAAAGTGGCTCATCCTCCAGTTCACAATCCAATCAGGGTTCCCAGTCATCCTCAAGCACAGGTTCAAATCAGTCTTCTGGCAGCAATCAAACTACCGAATCGTCTTCAAATACTGAATCTAGTCAATCTTCTAGCTCTCAATCGAATCAGACTGCATCAAATTCCACCGAGAGTAGTGTCAGTTCCACCTCAGGTAATCAAAGTTCCAATAGCACAACAGGTTCTCAGGAATCTGGTGGCAGTTCAACAGAGACCCAAACAACAACCCTGCAACCGTTTATCCCCGCCACCGAATGTGAAAGTGAGGAAACATTTTTGGAAGACAAGGAAGACTGTAGCAAATTTTACAGATGCCTAGATAATGGCAAAGGTGGTTACTCCAAGGTTTCATTCAAGTGTCCCCCCGATACCATTTGGCATCCGGAGGCCAATAGTTGTGACCACCCTGCTCAAGTACCAACACGAGATTGTAAAATGCCACCGCCATCAAACAGCACAGCCGAGTCCTCAACCACCACAGAAACCACGCAGGGCAGTTCTACTGGTCAGTCATCAACCACAGGTCAATCATCGAGCTCTTCATCCAGCAATTCGCAAGAGTCCGGCCAAAGTTCGACGACAACCCAGGAATCTTCGACAGCCTCACAGTCTTCGTCATCACAAAGCTCTTCATCAAATCAGGAATCTAGCACAAGTGGATCTTCGTCTAGCCAGGAATCCAATACTACTCAAAGTAGTTCAAGTTCCTCTGGCTCTTCCACATCCTCGTCTCAGGAATCTAATACTACCCAATCTTCTTCCTCTTCACAAAGTTCATCATCCACCCAAGAATCCAGCACTAGCCAGAGTAGCTCTAGCACATCGTCGTCATCATCATCGACTCAGGAATCAAACACAACACAAGGCACTTCAGGGTCTTCCAGTACATCATCAACAACCCAAGAATCTACCTCACAAAGCAGCTCAGGATCATCATCTACTTCATCGACAACACAAGAATCCAGCTCTTCGTCCACAACGCAAGGAAGTTCCTCTTCATCGCAACAATCCGGTTCCCAATCATCCAGCTCAAATCCGGTCGGATCATGCAATAGCAACAATCAGTATTTGGAAGACTCCAAAAACTGTGCTCGTTTCTATAGATGTGTGAAAAACAGTAAAGGCGGCTATGACAAGGTGGCCTTTACATGTGGTCCCGGTACCGTGTGGGATCCCCAAATTGAGGCCTGCAACCATGCCTGGGCTGTGAAGGATCGTAAATGTGGCACTGCAAGTAGTTCTACTGAAATGGGTGGATCCTCTGGCCAGCAAACAACTAAAAAACCGACAACAACTCAACGTCCCCCCTCAACCACTACAATGACGACCAGCAAACCAATTGAACAACCACCAACCGTAGCCCCAGTCACAAACAAACCAACCCAGAAACCTACCACAACCACCCAACCACCCACAGCTCCAACTCCGGAAATTTGTAAGACCGATGGCTTTGTAGGCGATCCCAATGATTGTACCCGTTTCTATCGCTGCGTTTCCAATGGAAAGGGTGGATTTACTCAATATCCCTTCCGTTGTGGTCAAGGCACCGTCTGGGATAGTGATTTACAGACCTGTAATCACGATTTAAATAAATGCAATACCAATGAGGGCGCCGTTCAAAAACCAACCACCCTAAAGCCGGAATATACAACAACTACAGGAAAACCCCAAGGGCCTCCAATTACGACGTCTATGCCAGGCTATGAGCCAACAACAACTATAAAACCCCAAGAAGGAACCTCTACAACGGGGTCGCCCCAAACAAGTACCACAAGCCCACCTGGTTATGAACCAACCACAACCCCAAGACCTCAAGAGGGCACAACAATCACCACCGAATATCCCCACGAATCCAGCACAACCACAATGAAACCGGATCCCAACAAACCCATTGGCTCCAAGGATCCCTGCCCCAAGGAAGGTTTCTTTGGCGACAAAGATGATTGCCAACGATTCTTTAGATGTATTGACAATGGCAAGGGTGGCTTTGAGAAACATTCCTTTAAATGTGGTAACGACACCGTCTGGGATGCAGATATCGAAAGCTGCAATCATCCTTCAGAAATTTCCGATCCCAAGTGTCGTCAAGGAATTACCACAGCACAATCTGAATATACCACAACGACAACAGCAAAATATCCAGGAGAAGATACCACCACAGTTGCGCCCACAACATCAACAACACCCGTACCAAACTTGCCACCTGGAAGGGAATGTAAAGGTGAAGGATTTATGGCCGATCCAGATAATTGTCAAAAATTCTATCGCTGCCTACAAAATGGCAATAGCTACGAACGGCATGAGTTCAAATGTGCCAAGGGAACGGGATGGAATGAAGATAAACAGGCATGTGATTATAGGGAGAATATTGAACGTTGTCAGGGTACGACGGAGGAACCGGAACCAGAAACCACAACCATGGAATATGTGACCAGCACCACGGAGAAATATACCACAACCACGTATAAGCCGACAATGACCACAACTACGCAGGAAACTGAGACAACGACTACTTTCAAGCCCACAATGACCACAACTACTCAGGTTAGCGAAACCACAACAACTTACAGACCTACAGTGACAACCACTACCCAAACAGCAGAGACAACAACCACTTACAAACCCGCTGAAACTACAACTAGTCAATATCCCACCACAACGGTGGTTGGCGAAACATCTACTACCACGGATTACACCACAACCATGCAGCCAACAACATCAACTACACCAATTCCAAATCTGCCACCCGGTAAGACCTGCAATGCTGAAGGATTCATGCCTGATCCAGATAATTGTCAAAAATTCTACCGCTGCATTAAAGCCGGCACAGGGTATGAGAAACACGAATTCAAGTGTTCCAAGGGAACAGCATGGAATGAAGACAAGCAAGCATGTGATTATCGGGAAAATGTTGAACGTTGCGCTGGTACGACTGAAGAACCAGCAATGGAAACAACAACAGAAGAATTTGTGACCGGCACAACACCCGTTTATGAGAAACCTACATCGTTGAAACCCGAAACTACAACCACTGAATACATGTCCAGTACGACCACAATACCAACGACAACAACAACCATAACTGATAAGTATCCAACCTCAACAATACCTCCTGAATCATCCACCATGCCGTCGGAAACGACGACTGATTATACTACCACAATGGAACCCACATCAACTACTCCAGTTCCCAATTTGCCACCGGGCAAAGAATGTACCGGTGAAGGTTTCATGCCAGATCCCGACAATTGTCAAAAATTCTATCGTTGTATTCAAACGGGTAAAGGCTATGAAAAGCACGAATTCAAATGTTCCAAGGGAACGGCATGGAATGAGGATAAGCAAACATGTGATCACAGGGCAAATGTTGACCGCTGCGCTGGTACCACCGAAGAACCTGAAATGGAAACAACTACTGAGGAATTTATGAGTAGTACCACACCAGGTTATGAGAAACCAACCACGATAAAGCCGGAAGGTACCACAACCACCGAATATGTTACCAGTACGACGGATAAATACACGACAACTACTTCAATGCCAACGACAAACACCGATAAGTATCCCCCCTCAACCACAACTGGCGAATCATCAACAATAACTTCAGAAACCACAACCATGGAACCCACATCAACAACTCCGATTCCTAACTTACCTCCTGGCAAAGAGTGCACCGGGGAAGGATTCATGCCTGATCCTGAGAATTGCCAAAAATTCTATCGCTGTACTCAAACACCTGGCAAGGGCTATGAAAAACATGAATTCAAGTGTTCCAAGGGAACAGCATGGAATGAAGACAAGCAAGGTTGTGATTATAGGGAAAACGTTGAACGGTGCGCAAGTACAACCGAGGAGCCGGAAATGGAAACAACCACTGAAGAATTTATAAGCAGTACCACACCCAGTTACGAGAAACCCACGACAATGAAACCAGAAACTACCACAGAATACATAACCAGTACAACATCCGGTTACGAGAAGCCCACAACAATGAAACCGGAAACCACCACAGGGTACGAATCCAGTACAACGGACAAATATACTACAACTACAAATAAGTACCCCACAACAACTGCCGAATCATCTACAATTTCCTCGGAAACCACAACTATGGAACCTACATCAACAATGCCGATACCTAATTTACCTCCTGGCAAAGAGTGCACCGGGGAAGGATTCATGCCCGATCCTGCAAATTGTCAAAAATTCTATCGTTGTACACAAACTGCTGGCAAAGGCTATGAGAAACATGAATTCAAGTGTTCCAAGGGCACAGCGTGGAATGAAGACAAGCAAGCTTGTGATTATCGGGAAAATGTTGAACGTTGCGCAGGTACGACCGAAGAACCAGAAATGGAAACAACCACAGAAGAATTTTCAAGCAGTACAACTCCTGGTTACGAGAAACCCACGACAATGAAACCGGAAACCACCACCGAATACATAACCAGTACAACATCCGGTTACGAGAAGCCTACCACAATGAAACCGGACACCACCACGGAGTATGTTACCAGCACAACCGATAAATATACCACAACTACCAGCATGCCAACAACTACTACCGATAAATATCCCACCCCAACAACTAGCGAGTCAACCACAAATCCTTCGGAGACCACGACCATAGAGCCTACATCTACAACTCCAATACCAAATTTGCCGGCCGGAAAGGAATGTAATGCCGAGGGATTTATGCCTGATCCTGATAATTGTCAAAAATTCTATCGCTGCATTAAATCCGATAAGGGCTATGAGAAACATGAGTTCAAATGCGCCAAAGGTACGGCCTGGAATGAAGATAACCAAGCATGTGATTATCGAACAAATGTTGAACGCTGTCAAGGACAAACCGAAGAGCCTGAACCCGAAACTACAACCGAGGAATATGTACAAAGTACAACAGATATATATACTACAACAACAACAGGTTATGATAAGCCCACAACAGAGGAAGCAATGACTACCAGCACAACATACCGCCCAAGTGTGACCACAACATCCAAACCCATAGAAACAACAACTTCATCCGGTACTACCACAACATACACGCCTGACTACACCACAACAGTCCAACCAACCTCAACCACGCCTGTTCCCAATTTACCGCCAGGAAATAAGTGTAGCGGCGAAGGATTTATGGCTGATCCCGATAACTGTCGAAAATTCTACCGTTGTGAAAAGTCCGCCAATGGTTATGCCAAACACGAATTTATGTGTGCTAAGGGTACAGGCTGGAGTGAGGAAAAACAGACATGTGATCATCGAGACAATATCGAACGGTGCCAGGGTCAAACGGAAGCTCCAGAACCAGAAACTACAACTATGTCCACAGAAAGTTTAACAACTACAACCACAGTTTCGTATGAGACGACGACCTTGGAGCCCACCACCGCAATGCCATCTACAACCACAACTGGATTGCCAACTACTACCACCGAGCCCTCATCAACAAAACCAATAACTACAACTGAAATACCAACAACTTCAACGGAGATGTCAACCACAACAGTTCCAAGTACAACAACGACTGAATTGCCAACCACGAAACCCACAACTACAACAGGGATGCCCAGTACAACCTGGGTACCCTCAACATCAACGACGGAAGAAGCCACTGACAACACGACAACAATGCAACCAACGACAGTATCACCAATACCAAACCTTCCGGCGGGCACCAAATGTACTGGTGAAGGTTTCATGGCTGATCCGGACAACTGTCGTAAATTCTATAGATGTATTGAAAATAACGGCAAATATGATCGTTATGAGTTTATGTGTGACAAGGACACAGCCTGGAGCGAGGAAAAGCAAACCTGTGATTATGCCGAAAATGTGGAACGCTGTGAAGGCCAGACAGAAGCTCCAGAAACAACAACCACATATAAACCTACAACGACCACTGAGTGGAACACAACAACAACAACGGAAGAAACTAGCACCACTACAACGGCACCTGAGACAACAACAACAACCATTCAAACAACTACCCAAGGTCCAGATTATACAACAACTACTACAGAGACTGGAGAAACCACAACCACGGGTATGCCTGGTTATGTCCCGACGACGATAACACCACCTGCCACCACCACAGAAGCAGGAACGACCACCGATTCCGCAACAACAGAACAATATGAAACCACGACCATGGAACCCATTAATCATAGTTGTACCGCTGAGGGCTTCTTCCCTGATCAGGATGACTGCAATCGTTATTATCGTTGTGTAGAAGGTTCTAAGAAGGGAACCTATAATGTCTACAGTTTCCGTTGTCCCAATGGAACAGTGTGGGATACTTCATTAGATACCTGTAATTATGCTGATCAGGTATCGGGTAATTGTTCTTCGGGAGCCAGTACAACGACAGAAATGTCTACAACCGAAATTGCTAGCACTGGTAAACCAGAAACAACAACCATCGATTATCCAAAGGAAACGACGACGACGACAACAACTGATAAACCTGAAAGTACAACGATGGAAAATCCTAAGGAAACTACCACAACTGTTCAGCCAGAGACAACAACAACTGAGAATCCAAAAGAGACAACAACAACTGGTAAACCTGAGACGACAACAACAGACAACCCCAAGGAGACCACAACCACGGACAATCCAAAGGAAACAACGACAACGGATAATCCCAAGGAGACCACCACAACCGATAATCCCAAGGAGACCACCACAACAGATAATCCCAAGGAGACCACCACAACAGATAATCCCAAGGAGACAACAACAACGGATAATCCTAAGGAGACCACTACAACTTCTCAACCAGAAACCACAACTACAGATAATTCCAAAGAAACAACTACAACTAGTAAACCGGAGCCAACAACAACAGATAATCCCAAGGAGACCACTACCACCGAAAGCCCCAAGGAGACCACTACCACAGTTAATCCTAATGAGATCACCACAACTGCCCAGCCAGAGACGACAACGACGGATAGCCCGAAGGAAACGACCACGACCGACAAACCCCAGACAGAGGCCACAGACCAGCCTGAGACAACGAGTAATATGACGGCACCCTGTCCACAAACTGAGGAAGGACAATCCCTTTTCATTTGCCCCACCGGGTTTAGACGGCATCCCAAACACTGCAACATGTTCTATCAGTGTACCGAAAAACAAGACAGCTACGATCAAAATATCGTCGTTTTCCAGTGTCCCAACGGTACAGTGTACCACGAAGACTTAAACAAATGTGATTCCCCCAAAAAGGGTGAGCAATGCGACATAAAGGCACGCACTCAAGGTGGTCTCTTTGAAGACGAATACAAACAAAGTCATACGGTGAGTAATACAGAATATTTAAAATTTTAATTTGGCAATAAACGCGCTCAATATTTTTATTTTCCTTCTAGATACAAATTCAATCCACCGCTCCCCTTTGCCCGGCCGAGGGCCACTTTGCTGTGAACGGTGATGAATGTGGTCAAATATTTATTAAATGTCAATATTCAAGTGGCGCCCAACGCTTGGAGGGCCAAATCTTCAGATGTCCCAAAGGTTTCGCCTATTGGTCGGTTAGTCGCCGCTGTGAAAGAGCTCAAAAGCTGCAAAACTGTACAACCACAAAATATGACATTTCCTCATCAATTCCCGTCGAATGGTCAAATATTGGAGCTAGACGCAGAGCATTTAGAGTTTAGTCAATTTCCTTAATACCATAAGTATTTATATAATAGAATTAATATTTAGGAAATCAGGTTTAGTCCGAAACGTCGAGACATGATTGTTTGTTCTGTTTGTGAAATCGCTGAGCGCGTATACGTGACAATATCACTCATACGCCGCCACACAGGCAATGGAGCGATTTCGTATACATCATAAACAATCTTTGGATCCGTTTTCAATTTATTTAAGTTCCTTTTGGGTTTTTTCAAATATTTTTCATTGGTGACGGTAGTTAACATACCTATATTTTCGAAATTACATTTGTATTATTTGGTGTATGGCAAATCGGGTATCTTATCAAATAAGCTAGACTGCGTATCATTTTTGTAAGTAATAGATATTCACATAATTGATATAGACTTATAGTACTAATTTCTTATAGTAATATATGAATATATATCGAATAAATGCCATAATATTTTTTATATATATTTAAAGCGTAAATGAATCAATAAAAATATATAATACTTAAATCAAAACTATTGTAGTGTGTCATTATCTCCCAAGCAAAATCTTATACAGGGGGGGAGACAAAAAAATGTAAAAATGTAAATTTTTTTTGTTTTTGAATGAAAGCAAAAATGTCGGAAATAGCATCAAATTTTAGAATATATTTAGGTTTGTTCGTATTGGCACGAATTATGGCCTTCAAACGGCCAATGAAACCGTTACATACCGCCCGAATGTTGCTCTGCGGTATTTTGACCCATTCCCTGCGAAGCGCTTGCTTGAGGTGATGGACACTTTGGTATTTTTTAGTGCCAACCTTGCTTTCCAAAATACTTCAGACACAATAGTCCAACGGACTGGTATCCGGAGATTTTGTTGACCATTGTGCGCTGGAAATTAAGCGAGGAACCTCATTTTCAACCATTCATTGTGGTGCGTGCAGAGTGCGATGGTGCTGAGTCCTATTGGAAGGTCCAAGGTCTGCGGCCAAAATGTTTGCATGCGCAAGACTTTAATACGCCATCCACAATATTTTTGGAATAATATTCGGTATTTATTCTCCGCTCGGTCGATTAATACGAGCGGAGAGCGACCATCGGTTGTTATGGCGGCCCACAGCATCACCATGACCTGCGCTTGAGTTCCTTGTGGCCAACCGAAGGCACATTTTCAGCTGACCTCTATGGCAAGTAAACACGATCATTTTGTTTGTTTACAAACTGCTGTTCAACGAATGTTTTCTCGTTGGAGAAAACCAAATTCGGCAGTTTACCACTTTCGGCGAAGCGAAACAACTCTTTAGTTCTTTTGAATCTAATTTCTTTCTGTTGCCCTTTTTATACCCTCCACCATACTTTGTCATTCCGTTTGGAACTCCTCGAAATACTCATGTCAGACCCAACAAAGTATATACCCAGCAAACATTTTTTTCCGATTTTCTTCCGAATTCGGAAAAAACCCAGCAAACATTTTTTTCCGATTTTCTTCCGAATTCGGAAAAAAAAACTCTGCACAAGTTTCCGACTCTGATGTCGAATTCGGAAAGAAATCGGAAAAAAATTGTGTGAGATTGCCCAAGATTCTGAAAGATTTTGCGGAAAAAATTCTGAAAGAACGTAAGAGTTTCGGGGCGAATTCGTATAGAATTCGGCAAAGAAAAAAGGAAAATTCGGGGAGATATAGGATGTTTGATACGAAATTCGGAAAATTTTCGGATGTTTGATACGAAATTCGGAAAAAATCTGAATTTGTTCTATAGTTATATCGGAAAATCGAAGAAATATAGGATGTTTGATGCGATATTCGGAAACGTATCGGATGTTTGATCCGAGATTCTAAGAATTTTCGGATGTTTGATTCGAAATTCGGAAAAAAATCTGAATTTATTCTATAGTTTTATCCGAAAATCGGGAAAAATTCGAATAATTCATTCGAAAATCGGAAAATAATAGGATGTTTGATACGAAATTCGCAAAAAAATCTAAATTTATTCTATAGTTGTAATCGAAAAACCGAAATAATTAAACTTTATCTAGTTTTTAGATAATTGTTTATGTTAATATTTTTCAATTTAATGACAAATTTAATAATGTATTCAGTTTTTTTGTAAAATATAAGGAATACGGAAATTAATATATAAAAAACATAAATAGTTGCAATTCAAGCTAAATAAGTGTGGAAATATATAAAGCGATATTTGGCTGACTCAAGTCATCGGCTGGCTTATTCGCAGATGAACAAAGGAGTTTAAGGTTGACTTAGTTCGATTTTGGCCCAGCTTAAGGTTTGTTAAGCCTATCTTTAGCCGAGTTGAGGAAATGTTTTATATGGGTTTATATGGCACTTCCCATAGTTCCCGGAATATGTTCCAATGCCGCATCTAAATAATAAAAATGAAAAAAATATTATTTATATTATCAAAGAGTTTAAAACACAAGGATACAAACCTTTAACGAGCCTAATAAAATAGATGTTCTTTTGCAGCTGTATTTTGGTACATATCGTGCCACGAAAACGTTGACCTCGTCAGTTTGAAAAATAAGTTTAAAATTTTCATATGTAAAAGTGTTTACATTGTAATGGCGTTGATTTTTTAAACGGCGTAGCTAAACAATTCAAGATATTAATAAAAGTAGTAATTGTAGAAAGGTGCTTACTTACCATAAGGTACTGAAGGTCCAAATCTTCCTTTAATTTTCATTTTAACTTTTCACTGCAACACACTGCACTCGTGCTCCGTTCAAATTTTGACGACAAACTGATCATAATCAAAAAAACAAAAAAGTTGTATACACAAAATTCGTCAAATAATTTCAACCGAGCAAGTGCAGAGTACTCGGAAACTTTTCGAAAGGAACGGTAAAATAAATCTCAACAGAAAAAAGTTAACTCTCTGCTAATGTCAGAATTTTTGTGTTTTTTTTTTTTTCAAATGAAACAAAAGAAACGAGTATGTGCAAATTACTCGGAAACTTTTCTGGAGTAACATTAGAAATTCTCGCCAAAAAAGAGTTAACTCTCTGTATACGCTGTTTTTTTTTCTCTTTAGCTTTGTTTTGTTCAAACAAAACAAAAGAAACGAGTATGTGCAGATTACTCGGAAACTTTTCTGAAGAAACGGCAGAAAATCTCGACAAAAAATCGGACATCAGAGCCCTCGGAAAAAATTGTTAGCTGGGTAAATTCTTGATCAGCGTAAAATTCTAAGTTGATTTAGCCATGTCCGTCTGTCTGTTGTAATCACACTATCTTTCGAACGAATCGAGATAGAAGGCTACAATTTTGCACACGTGTTTATTTTTCCAGTAGGCAGGTTAAGTTCGTAAATGGGCAATGTAGATCCACATTTTCATATAACCCCCATATAACGGTATCTCCTGATATTCGGTATTTTGATGATTTTAGCGACATTATTCACCGGAATTGTTTCAAAATTGGTATTTGAAGTTCGAAATGGATACTACAGCTTATGACAGAAAATTATCTGTGCAGATCCACGTCTGTGCAGATCCACGTCTTCCCGATATTCGGTATTTTGATGAATTTGAATATGGTAATGGCTTATGACAAACAATGCCTATGTAGGTCCCCATCGTATATATTTAATAGAATTTTTTAAGGATTTTATTTTTTGAAAATTTCCAAATTCGTTCCAAATGGTGGAGGGTATTCAAAGTTCGGCCCGGCCGAACTTACTGCTTTTTAACGTGTTGGAATTCCAATGGCTTTACCCCGAGCTAATTTTCAAAATTTGCCGAATGGACTATTGTGATATGTTCAGCTCACGAGTCATTTATCGGTCACTGCGACGCGGGATTCGGTCAAGATGCTTCTTTACTTTTCGAACTATTTCTGCTGATATTGCTGTTTTCTTCCATCCACTTCCTTGACGTCGGGCTACGCTACCAGTATCACGGTAACGAGCGATATTTTTTTTTTTAATTTTATTTATTTATTTTTTTTTTTTTGGAAAATATATTTTCATACGAATTTAAAATTTAAAGGGATCAAATTTGTATTTGATCGCCATTATTTCACCGGATTGTGTCACAAGTCGCACAATAAATAAAATTCTGGAAATATCTCTATCCGTTCAAAAGTTAATGATTTTCGACCAAGAAAACGATTCTGAATCACTGCACAATGTAATTTTAAATAGTGTGGCCATCTTGTTGGACATTGTTGTAAGCATAGGGCAAGAACTTACACCGCAACCGAAAGAAAATAAAGTTAAAAGAACTAAAGAGTTGCTTCGCTTGGCCGAAAGTGGTGAACTGCCGAAATTGGGTTTCCCCCATGAGAAACATTCGTTGTCCAGCAGTTTGTAAACAAACAAAATGATCGTGTTTACTTGCCAAAGAGGTCAGCTGAAAATGTGCACCTTCGGTTGGCCACCAGAACTCAAGCGTCGGCCATGGTGATAGTGTGGGCCGCCATGACAGCCGATGGTCGCTCTCCGCTCGTATTAATCGACCGTGGCATCTAAATGGGAGAGAGTGTATTTAAGCCTTGGGCACGCAAACATTTTGGCCGCAGACCTTCGACATTCCAACAGGACTCAGCACATGCCACCCAAGAATGGTTACAAAATGAGGTTCCTCGCTTCATTTCCAGCGCACAATGGCCACAAAAATCTCCGGATACCAATCCGTTGAACTATTGTATCTAGAGTATTTTGCAAAGCAAGATTGGCACTAAAAAATACGAAAGTGTTGATCACCTCAAGCAAGCGTTTTGCCAAAATACCACAGACCCAAATTCGGGCAGCGTGTGACGGTTTTTTGGCCGTTTGAAGGCCATAATTCGTGCCAAAGATGACCAATTCGAACAAATCTAAACTTATTTTAAAATATGATGCTATTTCCACCATTTTTCGCTTTCATTCAATAAAATTTTAAAAAAATGTAAAAATTATTTTTTGTCTCATCTTGTATAGGTTTTTAACACTCAAATTTTAGCCTATGGCTAAAAAATAAGATCAGGCTATACAAAATATGTAAAACCGACGGTAGGTGAACTTGAAAGTGAAAGTGAATTTTGCCATTAATATTTATATACTACCTGGCCCGGTCCGCGTTTCCGGCCCGTCGTTTTTGTCTATTATGCATATTTGTCAAAGCATAATTATTCACAGATATGACTTATATAAGTGTTCACGTACTGGTCGATTAAAAGTGTTTTAAAATACCTGTACCCATATTTAAGCCGTGGGCTTCAAATGTGTGGATGTGCTATACAAATCTATTAAAAAGTTCATATCAATCTTATCCCCATGTATTAGTATGGAAAAATCGTAGCAAAATTTTCCAGTCAAATGAGCAGTAATTTCGAATTTACTGTATTTTGTACACCTCATAATTGAGAGCTGAATGATTTAAGAATAGCCAAAGTTGATTACTTTTTTAAACCCATTAGCACCTCAGATTGTGCATTAGAGTCCTCATAAGTCCCCCTAATCATGATGGTCTTTTTGTTCGCCAAAAGGTGG